TTTTTGCAATAATGCAAATGCCACTTAAGTTAGACTCTAAAATACAATTTCAAAATACTATTTTCAAATGTAGTCAGATGTTTTCGGGGTTTTTTTTAATTGTGTGAGATATAAAATATTGGGTCAAAATGCAAAATACTAATTAACAGCAACAAACCATTCTATAAGAATACTAAGAAAATGCTGATAAGGAGAATAAATGTTGAAATGAAGTGTTATTATATGTGTTCTTTACTGAAAGGAAAGACCTGCTAGTGTTTAAAGCTGTTATGTTTGACATTTAAGAGTTTCTGTTGTTTGAGTTTTTGTTGTTAACATTATGCTGAAGAGTAGACCACATGAAGGTAAACACTACATTAATTCTATGAGCAATGACTGTCCTAATACCAGTGACAAGTAATATCTTGCTTGTTCAATAAATTTACACGCTAAATAAGTTATATTTAGTATGCTCATTTCTTTTAGGATTCAGCTTTAAAAAAACTGTGACATTACTTAGATCCCTGATATTGACTTTATAAACCCAGATGGCAATGATGATGGAGAAAGCAGGAAATCGACACTTGATGGAAGTCCTGACATATCATGGCGCGGGTCATCTGATTGAACCTCCATACTTGCCTACCATTCATTCAACAAACTACTATTTATTATGGAAAAAAAAGAGAGGTATGCATGCATGATATCTCATGTCATTTTTTATATGGTTCTAATTCTAAGTTTAGACTTTATTTGGGATTGTGTTTTACATGTTAATGCATGTTGTTGTTGTTCCTGCAGTTGTCATGCTATGGGGTGGACAAACCAAACTGCACGCATACGCACAAGAGGATGCATGGAAAAAGACTAACATTTCTGTGGCAGCACCTCTACATCAGCTCAGCGCTGCATTAAACGTTCCCTTCTGAAGTGGAACTTTGACGCTATTGAACGTAGATGCTATGTGTAATGTATTTGAGTTGATGTTATAATACCTGATGGCCACTAGAGTGCACTCCCGTGTTGTATGTTGTTGTTGTTGCAGCGTGCAGAGTAAATCAGTGAAAACGGTGCAGTCACTGGCTCTGGTTCTTCTTGTGCACGCTCTAGAACAAAATAGAAATAACATGTGTTATTAGGGCATATGGATGCAAACATAACACTATGAGAATGCCTTCATCATGTGCCAGTGTCCAAACATGTTAAATCACGCCAATCCTATTGGCTGTCGGAGGTTGTGTGATGATGTAAACATGTCCATAACCGATAAGAGAAAACCCATAAAGTGACCAGATGTCAGGTGTGAACAGGCCCTGAGATTACTCCATGTTAGGGCTGTGCAATTAATCGAAATACAATGTAAAATTTGGCCTCCAACGATTATGAAAATACAATAATCGAGATAAAACGATTATTGCGCCCCATTCCGCCCCCTTTCCAGCGGTGTGCTTTCGTTCCTCCATTAAAAGCCCAATTTCACAATCAATTGCAATTACAATTTTCCCAATTGCAAATCAGTAAAATCATGTAACTTCTGCAAAATGGGACGTGCTCAGAGACGGAACAAAAGATGGACAGGTAAAGTCATCTTGTAGCTCAAGGTGAACGCCTAAACAGTCATATACACGTAAAATTGTGTCAAAATGTGGCGCTTCGTGATTATTCATGTAAACCCTTGTCGGTCATGTAATAAATGAACTTAAATAGTTGAGAATGAAAATACATTCGTTGGATCCGTGCGCTCTTAAAGTGACAGCGGGCTAATATTCCTGCTGCCGACTGTGTGCTTAATATTAATCAAACAACAAAAGACAGACAAATTCACTCACTGCTCTTGACTGAAGGACTTTTGTACCTTCAATAAGAAACAAAGAAAGTTTAATTATTACAGTGAAGACTATGCAGGGGTTTTTTTACATTTGATTATTCATTTCTGTAGAAGGCTGTTAAAGGGGTCATATGATGCGATTTCAATTTTTCCTTTCTCTTTGGAGTGTTACAAGCTCTTGGTGCATAAAGAAGATCTGTAAAGTTGCAAAGACTAAAGTCTCAAATCCAAAGAGATATTCTTTATAAAAGTTCAGAGTTAACCACGCCTACCTAAAACGGCTCGTTCTAACATGCCCCCACATATCTACCTCACTATGTGGGAAGATTTGCATAACGTCACCCAAATGTTCACGCAAAGAAAGAAGGCATAACTTTTATTCTCACTGCAGTTTTGTTGCCATGTTGTGAAGGCGCTGTGTGCTTCGTTAGCGAAACTACTTTGTTTGGTCTTCTAAAAGAGGACGATATCCGCTTCGTCATGCCTAGAGCTGACCTGTGCTGGTCGCTGAGGAAATACATCAACTTAGTGCTGTGGATCGCCGGAT